CCCAAGGAAACTAAGTAGAAGCCCCAAAAGAGGAGAGGCAAACTATCAATAGTCATATCAGGAGAGAGAATTTTCAATAAGAAAGTGTGATCGAAGTAATCAAATGTCATAAAGAGAAGAAAGGCCTAGTGGTTTACTTCCAAAAATCAGCCAATCAAAACCTTATCGCTCATAATGGTCAGATCTGCAACCCATCATGGGAAAGGCATAAGATCAGCATTGTGTTCCAGTGTGCGAGTCCACCATGAGTCAGGGACGACTTGTCAGTAGCTAACAGCAAGAACAACTTTTCCTAAAAAGTAGAAGGACAATAGATGTAGAACCACATTTTGTTTTGTTTTGTTTGTTTATTTAATTTCTTTCTTTTTTTTTTTCAGGGATTTGAGTATTTCTTTTTTCATGCTATGTATTGAGCCACCTTGAGTTCCTACAGCACTGCTTTCCTTTTCTTGTTAGTTCATTTTAAAATCAATTGCTTTCCTTGAATGCCAGCTGGTTTACTTTGCACTAGAGATCTAATATTCATCAAATGCTCAATCAGCCCTTCACGGTTGTCTCATTTTACAGAGTGAGAAGCTCAGGCAGTGAGCCGAGGTTAATTGCTGTGCTCAAGTTTACACTGTAAGTCGGTGGTGACAGTACAATTAGAACTTGTGACCAGTGCTTTTCTATGTAATCAACTTGTTCATAACTTGCCTGCCTCCTGACACATGCATCCTGATGTGACAAAGCGATACATGTTCTGATTTGATTCCTAGTTAATATTCAAGGACTGCAATCTCACAGTTATAATAGCATAGTGCTAAAATACCAATAACAAAATAATAATAAAAATCTCATCTTGAAATACTAGTCATTTCTAATGGCATCTGTTCAATGTCATAGTAAATAACTCTAAAAGAATACCAACAAGAGGGCCAAAGAATAAATTGAATTAGACACTATTTACTAGGAACTCAGACAGATAATACTGATAAGTGGGAGGGGAAGTGACATAAACAAAAGCAGATTGGGAGTGAGGTGAAGGCAGAGGCAGATGGGTGGGAAAACAAAGGCCAGTCCAACAGCGGTGATAAATGGAAAACAAAATTAAAAATTTAAGAGATATTAAATTGAATTTGTTCCAGCAAATATGTATTTTGCAAACTGATTGTGACAGCCACAGTTGTGACATATTTTCTCTCAACCACTCAGGAAGAAACTTTCTCTTTTTCATTTTTTAATCTCATTTTTAATCATCCTCCCAAAGGAATGAAACAATTTTTTTT